GGTGTCAGTCAGTGGTTGGTCGGGTGTCAGTCGGTGGTTGGTGAGGTGTCAGTCGGTGGTTGGTGAGGTGTCAGTCAGTGGTTGGTCAGGTGTCAGTCAGTGGTTGGTCAGGTGTCAGTCAGTGGTTGGTCAGGTGTCAGTCAGTGGTTGGTCAGGTGTCAGGCAGTGGTTGGTCAGGTGTCAGTCAGTGGTTGGCCAGATATCAGTCAGTGGTTGGTCAGATATCAGTCAGTGGTTGGTCAGATATCAGTCAGTGGTTGGTCAGGTGTCAGTCAGTGGTTGGAAAGGTGTCAGATAGTTAATGGTAACTCTAACCCACCTGGTCACTTGAGAGGTTCCAAACTCCATTTATCTAAATGTTGATGAAAAATAAGAAACTTTTAGTTAAAAATAGGCAATATGGAAAAACAAAAGAAAAATACCTACTTTGTCATAAACCTGTTCCAGTGGAAGCAGTCTCAGTTGCTTGTTCATTATCAAGGCTCCCCTAAGCTTAAGATCTCTATAAAGCTTTGAAGATTCATAGGCTCTGTAAAATGGAATAGAATTAATGAAAGGTCATGAAAAATAAAGACTGTTTTTCCAAGTTTACAAATCGTAACAATATCTAGTTTTTGATTGATCCAGTTCCAGTACCAAACAGATATATAATTTTTGTGTGTGTGTGCCTGAGTTCTAGTTCTAAATAGTCATTGATCTGTGAGCAAGGGGAACTTGTGATAATGATTTTTGTTGGAGGTATTCAGTTCTCTTACCTGTATACTGATATAACTGTAGTAAACAATCTTGGACTACCTGATACCTTATTTATTGAAAGAAAGAAATAGCTTGTGAGAAAAAATTGAAACAAGGACATCAAAGGACCTATCAGCTGATATTTAAATGAAATGTTCAATAATTATCCTTGACTTACCAAGTTAGTGAAAATGAATTCAAATCTTGTATTGTTGCATCTTGTTAGTAGATACAATGCTTCTGTCTGGCCTCTTAGTTTCTAAAAACAAATGTGACATAAAGATTAACAGTACAGGCCAATTCATGTATATGACATTATAAAATAATATTATAAAGTTACAGTTATCGTAGATTGATAAGTTTTACACCGTAGTGAAAATAGGAACTGACGTTTCGGATGTTAGTCCTTCGTCGGAGTCAATGTAAAAATATTATAAAGTCATATTACTACATGCTCTCTGATTGGTCGAGAACTGTGCAGTATCAGTAAACACAACATGGTGCATCTATAAGTACTGCCAGCTTTCCATTTATTTAAAAAGACGGTGTAAAAATATGCATTGAAAACTACAGTTTACTTTTTCTTTCTATATAATGAAAGAAATAAACAAAAAACAGCCTAGGGCTTGTGCTTCTCTTCACATTTCGTTCATGTCATTATTTCCTGCTTGTGGTATTACTGAACAAAGCATGACAAAAGCCATTTCATGTTATCCTTCCTGATGGGATGGGATTTAATAACTGCATTAAACAGAAATTAAAACTAAAATAGAAGTAATATTTTATTTTGCTCTCCTCTGACCTAGGGAAAATATTTAATAAATAATTTTCTAACACCAAATTACTACTACAGTAGATGGCCAGGTACATGTGAACAGGTGCATATTTGATCATATCCACATGAAAGTTTGCACCATACAAATAATAAATTATTCATTAAAAGTTTTATTTATTACTTTCGACAGCCATACCATATCATTAGACTCCTGCATTTGATACTTACTGAATGAGCGGTTCTTGTCGATATATTGACTATAGCACTATAACCTACAGCTGTATACAGACATCAAGAAAAAATTGCCACATTTAGCATTACAAGAATGTAGATTTATGTTTATAATGAGCTTCTAAAGTAGAATAAAAACTATTCAAAGCAATGATGTTAATAAAAACAGAAATTCTTAGCCTACTTACAGAGGTTCACTCTTGGCATGCTTTGAGAATGCCAGATTAACCTTAGGTTGGTAACCATCAACCTTCCTGCAAAAGTAATTTAGCTAAATGATTATTGTTAAGTTTTATGGAAGCAGGAAAACTGAAGAACCCAGAGAAATGCAATGATGGCTAATGATGTCTGATGATGTCCATATTCCTTTTGATATTTGCAATACCTATATGGATCTAATTGGATATCTTGGAAATTATATTAAGTTTAATTTTTAGAATATTTTTAATTTTTTGGAAAAAATAGAAAATATTCTAAAAATTAAACTTAAAATAAATTCCAAGATATCCAATTAGATCCATATAGGCATTGTAAATATGAATAGTAATCTGCATTTTCATGACTTTTAAAGATGTTTCGGTATGTTTACAAACGGCTTGTTTAAAAATCCAAGATGGCGGCCTTGTGGTCACGTTAGTTTCCATGATAACCAAGGCTCTAAGGTTCCTTCTTTTCACAAAAGACATTAACTTGCCAAGTTTGGGGAAGATTCGTAGAAAACTGGCTATGATATAGCTAATCAGTTTTTCATCTGAGAGCCATGCCTTAATGATGCTGAGCAGTCAATGATGGTGAATGATGGTCAATGATGATCAATGATGGTCAAAGATGTTCAATGATGGTCTATGATGCTTAATGATGGTCAATGATGGTCAATGGTGGTGAATGATGTCCAATGATGGTTAATGATGCTCAATGATGGTCAATGATACCTAATGATGGTAGATGATGTCTAATGATGGTCAACGACAATCAATGATGATCAATGATAGTTAACAACGGTGTATGATGTCCAATGACAGTCAAGGATGCATAATGATGCACAGTGCAATGAATGACGGGTAACGATAATGGATGATGGCTAATGACATGCAATGATAGCAAACAAAGGCAAACAACACAAGAAAGCAAAAAACTTGGGAGATGTATTTCCATATTAATGTGCTTGAGCACGGAATTACAACCCAGCAGCAAGACCTTTACGTAAACAATGAAAGAAAGTAGTCCTCTCTGACCCCTGTGATTACTTGCATTGTTTACTGGGCTATTCTATTTTTAAAATATTACCTCTGTCTCCATTATTTCCTTTCGTGTCTTCTACAGAATCTAGCTTGTCTATTAAAATCTAAGAACAAAAAGTACGAAAGTTTTTGATTGATCATCTAAAAATCTTTCTATATAAAGCTTGTCTTTGATAATCTCCAAACCAATCGCTCTATTTCGTCTAAAGCTAAAAAATATAAGTCTTTTCTTTAATTATTTACTTGTAACCATGTTTCTGGTTCATTAATAGCGTGTATTTATACGAAAAAATAGTAATACAGCTCTGCAATACGGCTTTACTTCGAAGAAACATCAAACGACGAACCGGTTGTCAAGGGAAATAAGAGACGCCATTTTGAACTCACCTCGCCTGCTCGTAGCTGCATTTGCCTGGAATAAAACCCAAAAAATATCAGCTTATTCACAAGTGAACAGAGAAATCTTAGAATTAACTCACTGTAAGGTAATATCGAAGCGGACATCTCTATCTTCCCACAAATTACACTCCGACATTTTCTTCTCTTTCTGGATTTTTGTTGTTTTCCGATTGTTTTCCGATGTAGTTCCGAGGTATTTTCGATTTCGGCTTATCCACAGGAAACCCAAAGATAGGGTTTTCTCAAACTCCTCTTTTCTGCTGCACCTGATTCTATTTGAGGGAAACAAGACCATACCGGTAATTAAGAGGAAATATTGATAAGTTAAAGAAAGTCCATATCTATCCTAATTGCAAGGACAAAGAAATTAATTAGGCATGTTAAAAAACGCAGGCAATTTTGTAACGAAAACAAGTTTTGAAGAAAATGAACGTAGGAAAACGCCTAAGGAAAATCAGCTTATTAAACTCTGAGAAAACGAAAACTGAGAGGAAAGAATGAGAGAGGTAATGAAAATACGATGCTGACGGAACGATCGCAGGTTTTTTTTAAATAAATTATTCATTTTGTAATACACTCAACACAATTACTCGATTCTGATTGGACGAGAGGAGTACAATTAAATCCCAAAGTGTACTCTGTAGAGTTTCAATTAAGGTAGTCAATTTTTTTGAGTGTATTAAAAACAAAAAATCGCACAATTTTCTCGTACGATAGAAACAAACAGGATTTTTTACGCTATCCTCTAATGAAGTTCTTCCTTTCTTCCTTCCTTTCTTTCTTTCTTTCTTTCTTTCAGATATTTGAAAGTCTTAAGGATCATCTCATACTATGATTTCACCAATTTTTAACGCGCACTCACGCGCCGGTCAGGCTGACCAATAAACCGCAGTACAATCAGTATAGCCATTCCAGTCGCCCCATGAAAGCTGAGATGTTTGGTTCCATCTCTTTCTGACTCCTCCGATTTTTCCGGTCCTCCGGTTTTTCCTCCCTCCTCTCAAATCAACCCTAACTAATTCAAACTGGTTAGAGCTGTGCTCCGGGGTCATACATGGACTGTATAGTGGCTGCCAGAGGCGTCTTCACATGCTTTCAGTTCGAACACGTATGAAACAATAAAAGAATAAATCGAATGTTGCATAGCTATTAAAGTCGGTCCTTTGATGATAACCGGCTCCGATGCCGATCAATCAAATAATGTTTAGAATATAATACACATGATTATAAATTCATGTTCGAAAATTCGATCGCTTTTCTATAAATTTAATGGATTAGACAGCAACGAAGATGATGTTACAAAATTGTTATTTTTGAAAGCATAGCTGGCCACAAAACGTTAAACATTGTATCCGCTGCATTAACCTCGATTAGCATATGCATTCATTCACAAATCGTACTTCTATCTTCCGCCTTGAAAGATGAAAGTTATCGTCCTTTTTCAATGATGTTGATTAAATAGGCCCTTTGCAGCTAGTGGTCACGTGCTTGGATACCGCTTAGCAACACAAAACTGGAGAGCAAGCCTTCCAGTAAACAAAAGTTGTAATAGGTCAAG